AGTGTGCATGTGCAAGTTTGTTACATGGGTGTATTGCATGGTTTGGACTTCTGTTGAGCATGGTTTGGACTTCTGTTGAGCATGTCCCCCAGATAGTGAGCCTGGCACCCCATGGGTGGGTTTTAGTCCCCTTCCCCTTAGGTATTCCCAGTGTCTGTTGTTCCCGCCCTTATGTCTCTGTGTGCTCAGTGTTTAGCTCCCAAGAGTTTCTATTTCTTTTTTTGTTTTGTTTTGTTTTTGAGTTGGAGTCTCATTCTATCACCAAGGCTGGATTGCAGTGGCAAGCTCACAGCCACCCCAGCATCGAACCGCTAGGCTCCCGGCGATCCTTCCACCTCAGTCTTCCAAGTAGCCAGAACTATAAGCATACACTACCAAGCCTGGCTAGTTTTCTTTGATTTATTGTAGAGACGAGGTCTCACCATGTTGCCCAGGCTGGTTGTGAGCCTGCAGGCTCAGGCAGTCCTCTTGCCTCAGCCTCCCAAAGTGCTGGGATTACAGCCTTGAGCTACCGTGCCCAGCCAAGATTTTCTATTTCACTGGTCTTTTCCATGAGCTAGCTTTTGTTATTACTAATCAACTCCACTGCTGTTTTCCATTTCACTAGCTTCTGCTTTTTTTCTTTATTAATTCTTTCACAACCATGCAACATTACCTTTGGCTGATGGTCAATTCTGTAGGAAGTCTGCTGGAACTGGCGTATCTCTCTGATAATGTGCGATATCTAACAGAAAAACAAAACAGAATGACAACTGGAGCAGAGGCATCCTCCTATCCTGAAGCAGCTCTCAGGGCCCTTTCCAGGGCCCAGTCCCTCCTGCAGCGAGGCAGGGGAGCCTGCCCGTCACTCCTTGGGCCTGGTGTTTCTTGCCTTTCAAGGAGCCATGGGAAATGCCAACAGCAAGAAGGCACTGGACTCACAATCGGGGGACAGCTGGCACAGGGTGGCCTTGGCCCAGGGAGAGGCCAGCCCGGGTGCTGTGGCCCACAAGCTCCTGGCATCCAGCCTGGTGCTCAGAACCGGGTGTTCAGCACAAGGCCTCCAGCAGCTGTCCACACGGTCAGTTATAGAAAGTCACCCTTGGAGCCCTAGTCCCTACCCCTCTCCCTAACAGCAAACAAAAAATGCCCGGCCGGCCCAATGCTCCTCCACCAGCCAGCTCCACCCTCCCCTCCCCCCCCAAAATGAAAAGCAGACATCGTCTTTCATTCCTTCTCCAAGCCATTCCTGTCCCTGAAATGGCTGATGATGAAGCGGTCACCTACCATCCTCATCTTGGAGAAGTTGACAAGGCCTTCCTCAGTGAAGTCTGGCGTACCTTCTTCGATAAATGCCAGGTCTGTCAAGTACATCCCAAGATAAGGAACAGCAGGGGGGTTACAGCTGCAAAACCAAGAGTGCTGTTCAGACCAGGAGCACAAACTTCCACCTCCCAGTTAAGAATGTTGTTCTCAGACCAAGAACACAAACGTCCGCCCCCATCCCCTATTAAACAGGAAGCGGCAGTGCTGCTCCCACTCTGAAGCAGGAAGTCTGTGTATTTTATGTTTAGAAGCACACTCCTGACATGCAGAGTGAACACTTGTTATGAGTGATATGAGACAAAATGACAGCCCATGCTTCACTGTGTGTTGGAGACAATAGCACGCTCAAACCACAAGACTTCCCAGAGCATCTGTCAGAGAGACTTGTCAGCAGTGTTGCTGGTCACCTTTCCTTGAGGGGCAGATACTGGAGGAAAGCCCTGTGCCCTCACCTCATTCAATCACAAATGTTCAGCTCCAATACCTGGATGAAAAAGTCAGTGGGATGAGAACCTGCACTGCTGTGAGATGAAGCCTCTGTTAGTCAGCACTTAAATGTGTAGAACTCATCAGCATCACAGCTGCAGACCCCCTGGATGCTACTCTGTTCTGTTTTTGAGGAGCATGGGTATACTTTGTCCTCTCCAAGAGGCTCGGGCCTGGAGACACAGACTCTCATTGCAGACTGATCTGGGTTGGAATCCCAGCTTGAGCACCGACTAAGTGACTGGGAAAGACTCTGAACTGCAGTTTACTCACTTGTCAAGTGGAGACAGAAAAGTGCATCTCTTTAGTTTGCCATGAGGTTTAAAGAAGACACATCAAATACTTGTTGTAGGACCTGGCACTCGGTCCACGTTTGGGAAATAGTTCCTATACAATGGTTGCTGCTGTTGCTGCGATTGTTACTACTATTAGCCTTGTTTCCCTCACACCATCGCAGAACTAATGCTTCTTCAGAGCAAGTTAAGAACGTGGAGTAGCTCATGGGAAAACCTGCTGCAGGAGAACAGATTCCATGCTGTGTGTGTGTCAAAAGAGAATGACCCAGAAGTGAAAGACCAAAATTAACAACCAACAGGTACAAGAATATTTAAATAAAAATCACAAGCTGGGCTCGGTGGCTCAGCCTGTAAGCCCACTCTTTGGGAGGCTGAGGTGAGTGGATTGCCTGAGCCCGCGGGTTCGAGACTCTCCTGGGCAACTTGGCAAGACCTCATCTCTACAATAAAACAATAAATTAGCCGGGCGTGGTAGCGCGCGCCTGTAATTCCGGCTACTTGGAAGGCTGAAGCGGAAGGATCGCTGGAGCCCAGCAGGTCGAGGCTGCAGTAGCCAGGAACATGCCACTGCACTCCATTCTGGGTGATAGAGTGAGACTTCAACTCAAAAAAAAAAATCACAAGAAGTCATTGTGCTTAGACTAGGAAATAACTGAGTTAAAACTTTTTATACTAAAATGAGGTTTGGTTTATCTGTTTTTTTGAACCAGGATCTCATTCTGTCACCTAGGCTAGAATGCACTAACATGATCACAGTTCACTGCAGCCTCTACCTCCTGGGCTCAGGTGATCCTTCCACCTCAGCTTTCTGAGTAGCTGAGACTATAGGCATGCACCACCATACCTGGCTAATGTCTTAATGTTTTGTAGAGATGAGGTCTCACTATGTTGCCCAGGCTGGTTTCAAACTCCTGGGCTCAAGCACTCTTTCTGCCTCAGCCTCCCAAAGTATTGGGATTACAGGCATGAGTCACTGTGTCCAACGTATCTCCTTAACTGAAGCACTAGGCACACCATGAGTACATCCATGAGAGTCCTACTCTAAGTACAGATTCCAAACATAAAGGAAGATGAGAAAATACCCCTGTGATAGAAGCTGGTTCCAATTAGCTTTTCTTTTCAAAGCAAAGCAAGAGATAGGGCACTAGTTGAATATCATATAAATTATGTAAATAGAGTTCTTCATTATGAATAAATTAATAATTAAGGCAGACATACTTTTTAAGGGTTTCTCTGAGATTTTTAAATCTTCCTTCAGATGAAACAGTCTTCTGGAGTTTGTCCATTAGAGCTTTTGTCTAAAAAGAAAAGAAACTTAGTATTATGAAAATACTATGGACTGAAAACACAGTGAGTTGCCAATAGATGCCCAAGTATCTTCTACACTGGCAGGTGCTGAGACTCTCACCAGAGTAAGGTTATCCTGCGACATGACTCTCACACATGAAGGTCGGGCTTTCTGTTCACAGCTAATGTCAACACACATGGAGATGAGGAGTGCCTGCATCTGTACATTTAGCCAAAAGAGGGAAAATGTGTTGAAAAGGGAAACTGCAGTACGCAGAAAGTGCAGGGTCGTAAAGACCTGGCCCATGTGTTACACACAGAGATGTCAGGGCAGGTCTCATCCTACAGTGCTCATGATGAGTCTTCTTGAATCTCTGAGTGACCCAAGCCTACAATGGCTGCTTGGTCTTGATGGAGCAGCGCCCTCTACGGCTGACATTTCTTTGGGGATCATCTTCAGTTTGTTAGAAAAGTATAACCCCTACCTATCACCATACACAAAAATCAACGTCAAATGGACCAAAGACTTAAACATAAAACCTCAAACCATAAGAATCTTAGAAATTGCAGGAGACACCCTTTACAGAAATTGGAATAGGCAACCAATTCCTGATCAAAACTCAGATGCCTATACTATAAGAGATAAGACAGGTGAGGCCTCATCAAACTGACAAACTTCTGCAAAGCAAAAAAAAAACAAAACAAAAAAACCATCAAGAGACCAGGGAGGCAGCCCACAGAATGGGAAAAAATATTTACCAACTGTATATCAGACAAAGGCCTAACGTCCAGAATCTACAAGAACTCAAATGTGCCAAAAGGAAAAAAACAAACCCATTAAAAAATGCACAAAAGTCAGTCACATCTCAAAGAAAACATATAAGCAGCCAACAGACACATGAAAAAGTGCTCAGTCCCACTAATCATCAGAGAAATGCAAATCAAAACCACACTGAGAGACCGCTTAACTCCAGTAAGAATGACCATCATTAATAAAACAAAAAACAGCATATGCTGGTGAGGATGCAGAGAAAAGAGAACATTTCTACACTTTTGATGGGAGTGCAAACTAATTAACCTCTATGGAAAACAGTGCAGAGATTTCTAAAAGAACTAGAAATTGACCTTCCATATGACCCAACAATACCCTTTCTGGGAATATACCCAGAGGAACTCAAATCATTTTACAAAAAAGATACCTGTGCATGAATGTTTATTGTAGCACTATTCACAATAGCAAAAACATGGAACCAACCGTGCTACCCATCAAAAGTGGACTGGATACAAAAAGAGTTGTACATATACACATTGGGATATTATGCAACTACAAAGAAGGACAAACATATGGACTTTGCAGCAGCTTGAATGGACATACTCAGTGATCACAGAAACAAAGAACTGAATACTACATGTTCTCACTTATAAGTGGACCCTGAACACCTATCATAATACTGCAACAAAGGAATTGGCAGCAGTGGGACACTGCCATGGGAGTGGGGATAACATCAATAAGCGTGCCTGATCCTAATCCAGGCGGAGTGAGGTCCAATGGGAGGCCCAAAACTTCACCTGTACCTAGACCACTTATGTACCCAATCCTGACTTGTACTTTAAAATAATAAATTTTTTAAATTAAAAAAAAGAAAAGTATGACCAATATTTACTGAAAAATTTATGAAGACCAGTTAACACTGGGTCGGCAGCTGGCAGGGCCCTAACTTCCAGGTCCCATGGGGAAGCACTTGGGATGTCCCCACCCTGGGGAAGCTGCTCAGCCCCATGAGGCCTTGGGACTATGCAGGGGGCTGCCTTCCTGTCTGGCTCCTGAGGGCTCTGTGAGACCCCTGCCTGGCCAGGGCAGCCTTGCTCATGAAGGCTGTGGAAGTGGTCTATCCACAGCCATAGGCCAAAGGCCTCCAGAGTGTGGGTCCTCCAGGCCTCCGGACCTTCCCCAGCAAAGGACAGGTGCAGAGAAGGCACCTGGCAGGTGGATGGCATTCTCACATGTGCCTGAGGCACGTCTGCAGTCAGGCACTGACCATGGAAACAACCTCTCTGGAGGGCAGGCCACCAGCCTGAGCCAAGGCCACTGCGAGGGACCCAGGATGTGATTGAAATGGTATATTTTACTTAACACCTTTGCAATGGGTATTTGCATCATGTAAAACTGACATTTTCAGACAAGTCTCATTCTCTCTATTCCATGGCCAGGTGATCCTTAAGCCTGCGTCCTGCAGAAAGTAAGCGTAACTCACATCAACAGAAGGAGAGGCTTTGCAAGCCTTCCAAGGTGAGCAGCTGGTGAAGTCCAGGGGCAGTTGGTGAAGTCCCAGTGAGACTGATGGGCTGCTCACATGCACTTCCAGTTGCAAAACTGTCTGGCCCCAAGACACTGTCCTTAGGGCAGGCTGAGGGGGAGACCCTGTGTTTTTCTTCCAATGCATGTGACTCTCTCTACAACCATCACCAAACAAAAGGGTTGTTTTTAAACAGAATTTATACCATTGGTGACTTTTGTTGGCCAGGTCCAGGCATTGTTGGCAGAAAAAGGCTTGTGAGTTCTCAGGGGCTCAACTGGGATGCTCTGAGTGTGTCATTTCCCCATGGAGTGAGGGAAGGTAGGGTGGCAGGTGTGGCGTGGGCAGGTGTGGCATGGGCAGGTGTGGTGTGGGCTTGGATTCCTGCATGTGGAGGAAGTCAGGGTCTCCCATATGGGAGCGAGCAGCTTGGAAGGTGGACTGAGGACAGGATGACGCATGAGCAGCTGCAAGTGTCTCAGAGGGGCTTCACCTTCAAGGTCCTGACACCCACTTTCAGGGGAGCCAGTAGGATGTTCTTGTGCTCTCCTCCACCCAGCCCTGTGGTGGCTCTGGCAGATGCCTCTGGCCATTGTGGATGTTACAGTGGGGTGAGCATGGTGGTGAGTGGGACCCAGGCATGGAGGACTTGGCATGGATCTGCCTACCCCCACACCAGTGGGACATGCAGGAGCTTGGGAGACCCATGAGAGGGCCCCATGAGAGGGCCAGTGTCATCACCCGTCACAGAGACCTCGATATCCACCAGAGATCAGGGCAAAGTGCCTTAGTGAAGTCTGGACATGCCCCAGGCTCAGGGGAGCAGAACCAGGGAGAGCAGAAGGGCTGGTGGGTCAGCCAAGCTCCCACATCGATCCTGACGGGGCAGGCCACGTGGGATACTGGCTCAGGTGACTCCCAGTGGCTAACTCCAACGACCAGTCTGTGAGGGATGGCAGAAGGCAGAGAGGTACACAGCCTTCCTGACACTCAGTGCCCAGGGGAAGACCAGGAGAAAAGCGGGGAGGCATGTGATTGGTCTGAATTTTGGAATTATCTGAATGAAGACGACGGGCAGGCTGAGTCCAATGAGAGAAAGTTAAAATCTAGTTTTTCACATTAGTGTCATCATGCCAAATTTTAAATCTGCTGCATGAATGCCAAGAAGGCAAACTCAAGACCCCTGGCCCCTGGCTTTTGAAACCACAGTATTTGTATCCCCACTGTGGGGGATAGAAATTGGATCTACTGGATGCCACTGTCTACCTGGGGTCCACTGCCCTCATGAGATGATTCAGGAAACAGCTCTGGACCGACAGCTACACTGTTGAAGGCTGTTCCCAAAATGCTTGTTTCTTAAAATTTTTAGACACAGGCTCTTACTCTGTTGCCCAGGCTGGAGTGCAGAGGCATGATCACAGCTCAGGCGATCCTTCCTCCTCAGCCTCCTGTATAGCTGGAACTGCAGGCATGCACCATCACACTCAGATATTTTTTTTTTTTTATAGAGGTCCCACTATGTTGCCTAGGTTGGCTTCTAATTCCTGGCCTCAAGTGATCCTCCTGCCTTGGCCTCCCAAAGTGCTGGGATTACAGGTGTGAGCCACCACGCCTGGTCCTTAAAATGTTTTGATGGATGTTCTAGAAATACACAGGAGTGGAGCCATCAAAGGTAAGGACACAGTAATTACCATGCTGGCACTTTCTCTGGCAACTGAGCTTCCCATCTCATCTGATGGCTTCCTAATCAACAATGTTTCCCTAGGCTCTTGGTTCCCAGCCTCCCCTACCTGTGCAGTGGGACATGTCATGTGAGCCTCACCTGCTTGGATACTTTGGCCCAGGTCTTCTTCAGCCGGTAGATGGCACTTCTGTTTAAGGCCGAGGTGATCTCCAGCACACCGTTGTAATTGTGCAGGCAGCGGCAAATGTCCGCCACCGCCACCCACTTTTCAATGGCGTTGGCCCGGGAGCTGACATCTGCGTAGTTCATTATCTGAGAGGCCACCAGGTTGCTCATCTGAGACAATCAAAAACCCAAAGGGCTATCTAAGGCATTTAGACACCACCTGGTCATCCGCAGACATGCTGGAGAGCAGGTGGCAATGGCATGGAAGGTCTTTTCCACATTTAGTACCAACTTTCTAAAGAGACCAAGTCTGTAATAATAATAATAACAGCAAACTCATGAGCACTGGTCTTCCCTTGAGTGAAGGGAGGGGCTATTTGGATTCTGGCTTGTTGGGACAGAGGGGGTTCTGTCAGGCAGTGATAACTACTGAGGAAATGGGACAGAGCAGCCTGACCTCTGGGGAGGGCAGTGCCTTCAGGTTCCAGGTGTCTCCTTGAGCTGGCCCCACATTTCTGGCCCCATCTGTGTAATGACCCACTTGGAAGCCTCAGTTTCCACAGAGAAAGAAGAAACACCTGCCTCAGTAGGTCAAATTCTAAACAGATCAACTCCCAAACCAGAAGCGCTTTGCGGCAGGTAAGAGAACACTTTGGTCTTAGCTCATTTCTCACTAGCAGCTGAATAGTGCCATGTCAAGGCCAAGTGCACTAATTCTACAGTGGAACCCGTTTTAGAGGCCCAGCTTCACACTACGGAGAGGGGAAGGGAGACCAGGATCACTCTGCTACCCAGGGACTCTGGGCACGTCTTCCAACCCAGGCACTCCAGCAAGGACATGCCTGCTCTCCCAGCACCTCAGTGTTAATCTAAGGAAGTTCATTGAGGCCCTCTAGATGCTATTCATGGGTGCCTGCTGTCACCAGAGTGAAGAGAGGAATTACTGTTGTTTCAGGAGGAGGTGATCTTATCAATTACAATTTTGATGAAGATGTTCTCTCCTCTAACTACAGAGGAAGTTAGATGGGGCAGAACAGACAGGCTTTGAGGTGTGGGCACAGAAGACAAATCAGCATTCCTAACCCTAAGGCAGCCCAAGCCAGCCAGGTAAAGAGGGAAGGAAGTCAGACCCAGAAATAAGCACGACTAAATGTGAAACACGATGACAAGTTCACATGTGCACTGGTCAAGGACACAGAGGTGGTACAGGGCATCACCCAGTACAGAGGGAGCCTTGGGGGGAGGCCATACCTGCATCAGTCTCAGAGCATCAAAGCAAGGCAACAGAGGGATGGAGGACCGAGGCCTGGTGCTATGGAGGCTCCAATAGCTGCTGAGGAGCACAAGCCCATGAGGGACAAGAGGACCAACGGGTGGGGACCATGCCCTGAAGGCAGGGGCACAGCACCAACAGGTTTTGTCAGAGAGAGAGTAGGTTGACCTGTTGGGGAGTCCTTCCCTGACATGAAGACTGTGCTGGAGAAAGTAATGTGAGGGGATGGAGGACAGGAGGCTGTAGGGAGTTGAGTGGGGGGGCAGGTGGATGACAGGAGGCGGCAGGGAGGCTGGTAGAGGCTGAGGTGTGCAGAAACTTGGGGCTCACACTGTGCTAGAAGACTGGGTGCCAAGAGAGAAGAGGACCCCGGAGCCTATGTTGGGTGATACGTGTACAGTGAGGCTGTTGCCCCAGGCTGAGGACAGAGTGGGGCCACCAGCAGGCTCATTCAGGTCTCAGTCCCCTCTGTTCCATCCTGCGTGAGAGCTCTGCCCTTCAGGCACCTTGTGCCTCTTAGTCCCTGCTCCTCAGATGGGGCTCATGGCCTGGGAAGCAGAGACGGGCCCACACGCAACTGCAGATAGCAAGGCCATGGTCACCCGGCAGATGTGGAGTGTGGCCTGTGGGCTGGGACAGGCCTCAATACCTGAGTGTGGGGGCAGCACAGGCAGAATGGGGGCTCGGTTGCTCAGACAGGGACTGAGTAGTGTGTGTCACAACCCATGGTGGGCTTGATGCTCGTTGTGTGGCAGCATCATATGGCATTTCTGCTCCGATCACCCAGCACAGCACACGGTCCTGTGAGCCACCCTGCTGTCTGGTATCTTGGGTCTGGAGGTTCTATTAATGTATCCATGGGGTCTTGGTGGGTTTTAAACACACCATGATTCCTTTCCCCGGAGCTCAGTGGAACTGGTCAGGGAGCCTGCTGGGTCCCCTTTCGCCGCTGGACCCAGGTCATGAGAGAGGCCATTGGGGAGCTGGTGGGCACAAAAGCACCCTCTGCCACTCCTGCAGGAGAGCAGGGCAGGGATGGACCTGCAGCTGTCCCGGATCCCCTCCCACAACCCCCACCCACAGGCCCAGAACCACCACAGGGAGGCTGGACCAGGGTCCTCCACCCAACCGGACTCTCATACCCAGTGAGGATGAGGAGGAGCAGCCCCAGCCCAGCCCCACGTCTCCACCACCCATGGCGCATGACACAGCCTGTTCTCTGTGCTAGTCAACCACGGCCAGGATGAGGATTTCAATGAGTTGTCATCATGCCCTATATGTTCCTAAGCATTCGCTAGGTGGGCCTCACCCAGGTAAGCCTCTGCCCCAGGAAGGTGGCTGTAAGCTATGACTGTGAGCTCTTAGAGGGACTTGAGCTTGTCTCTAATATTCTGCCAGTTCTGTCTAAGAGCAGGCAGCAGAGCTACTTGATTTCTGAGGTGTCTGAGACCTCAGAGCCTGTGCCGCACCCCCTGTGCTGGCCCTCAGCCTTAGGTACTTACATCATTGAAGTGCTGGCTGGTCCTCATGACATAGGGCGTCCTCTCGTTCTTATCCGCCTTCATCCAGCCCTGCCCCAGGAACTCCCTGAAGAACAGAACCCAGGGCTGGTGAGGCTTTACCCACAGTGACTGTGATCCCAGGTGATTATCCCGAGTAGCAGGGACTTTAAACCTGACAGTGCCTGGAATGCCCCAGATGCCTGCTGCTGTCAACATCCTAAGGGAGCACGTACCCACTCTCACTGCTACTTGATGCCAGAAAGAAAGACTCTCATTCTCCAGCTCTCCTATAAACATGGAATCTTGTTCCTTCTAGAGCCCTAAAGGCTTCTCTGAGGTTGGAAAATGACCACCAACACAAGGAAAATAGAGAGAGTTGGTTCTGACCCCAAACCAAGATTCTTTCCTCAGGATTCACTTTAAAAACACTAAGCCTCAGCAGAGGGTCCCCAAAATGTCACCCTACTGAGAATGCTAACCAGGAAAACTGTTCTTACATGTTGCCCACCATGACTGAGGGTGAGCAGACAGGGAGGTTGTTCTGTCCTCCCCAGAGCTTGGGACAGTGCACAGTGAGAGCCAAACAATCCTAATCACATGTGTATACACGGTCCCCTTGGGGCAGGTAGGTGGTCAGGAACCCAGCCCAGGGGGAGCACCTGGCGACAGCACAGCTCATCTGCCCCTTTCCTGAGCAGGTTCCCAGACCACAGCAGGAAGCCAGCGACACTTAAGATGAAGCAGCAGGGATCATATTGTAGAGGCGATAAAAAACTTGAAATTATTCAGATACTTTTTTCTTTTATTTTGTTTTATTTTTTATAGAGATGGGACTTGCTATGTTGCTCAGGTTGGTCTTGAAATCCTAGGCTCAAGCCATCCTCCCACCTTGGCCTTCTGAGTAGGGAGGATGATAGGTGTGAGCTCCCACTCAGACACATTCTTAGTGTCTTAGAGTATCTTAGCAAACAAGTCCTTGGGCAAGGCTCTGTCCTTGCTGTCTTGGTCCTGCTCCCACCTCAGAGCTGGAAAGGACTTATCAAGATCCCTATTCTCCACAAGAGGAAGCTCAAGGGTGGTGCGATGGCCCACAACCATGGCTGAGCCACATGTGTGATCAGTGTATGTAGCATAGAAGCAGAACTCATAGCTGTCACCCCAGATTGGCATTTCCCAAAGTCTGCCTTGGGTCAACTGGAATGATCCAGGTTGTCCTTGAAAACATCTTCCAGGGCTCCAATCAAACCTACTAGAGTCAGCGCTTCTGAGGGGCTCTTGGAGTGTACATTTTAACAAGTGTACCAAATGATCCCAGGCACATGGAAGTTTGAGAACTATTGCTGTAGCTGTAGTGAGGTTTCAGGAAGGAAGAGTCAGGAGGGTGCCAAGATATGCACCTTCACAGCAACCTTGGCACATATGGATGCACAGAAGTGGCTGTCTTGGGGTCCCCAAACCAATATCTTCAACATATGCTGGAATCAAAGGACATCCAAACCATCTCAAGATGAGGGCTTTATGGTCATGAGGGCAAGTCACCCTACTACAAAGAGATGACCATGGGGCCAAGCCATCTTAGGGTGAGGAGATGATCACAGGTCAAGCCACCTTAGGGTGAAGAGATGACCATGGGGTCAAGGATTCTTAGGGTGAAGAGGTGATCATGGGTCAAGCCCTCTTAGGGTGAAGAGATAACCATGGGAACAAGGCATCTTAGGATGAAGTGATGACCACAGGTCAAGCCTTCTTGGGATAAAGAGATAACCATGGATCCAAGCTACTTTAGGGTGAAAAGATGACCATGGGGTCAAGCTACCTAAGGGTGAAGAGCTGATGACCACAGGCCAAGCCATCTTACAGTGAAGATGCACACCTTGCTCATAAACATCTGCCTTAGAGTAATAGCATTCCTGGGTTGGCCAGAGTAGCCTGTGCACTACAGGGAACACTTACTCATAGGGAATGCTCCGGAAAATCACATGATCCAGGAGGGTGATCTGCTCTGCCAGCTCCATGGCTGACAGGGTCTCAAAGCACTCAGCCTTCAGGCAGTCAGTCTGCAAGAGATGAGGGTGGGAGGTGAGGACACCCAGGCAGGCCCGGGTCTCCCTGGGTTAGGGGGCAGCAGCAAATGGAGGCATGAGACCCATCACTAGAGTCTAACCAGGAGAGAAAGTGCAGGAAGCTTAAAATATCATGGACCATTATGGACTGACGGCTCGAGCCCATACTAAGCACAGCCCATCTCACAGATCTTACAGACAGGACATATGGCCAGACAAACCGTGGCCAGTGACATGCAGTGGCTCGTCTGGAGGGTTGTCTGCATGTGGCTGTGCTGGGTAGGATGCGGCTGAGCTTACCATTTGAATGATGTCCTCTAATTTCAGGTGGATGTCATCTTGATCATCTTGTGAAAGAGCTCTAAAGAAACCAAAACATCCTCATGAAAATAAGCAGATAAGCTGGAATGAAATACAAATGCAAAGTCCATGATGCCATGCAGAACTGCAGGCCACTGCACTGGAGATCTGACCCTGAAACAGGGCTACCCAGGCCCAGGCATGAGAGAATCATCGAGACAGCTCAGTTGTTATGCACAAGGTGGTGACACAGTGCGCCACATCAACATGAGCTGAGGGTGAGTGGGTGTGCTTTGAGTCTTGGAGACAACCTGCAAGGTGACAGGGGTGAGGGTAGGGGGAAAGGGTCTGCTCTATGCTGTCAGTGAGGCCCCAAATCCCAGCAACCCCCGCCCTGGGCCTTCCCTGAGGATGCAGAGGCAGAGCCACCCTTGTGAGGCATCCATGGACCAGAGGCACAGGGGGGTTACTAGCGGCAGGACTTAGCACCACAAGATAGGTTCTGAGGTAGATTCTTTCCTGTTGCTTCTAGGCAGACTCACCTCAGACACTTTGGTTTCACATCCCTAACATGGTGTCATTTCTCTCAGTAAATATCTTTTTTGGATAAAAAAATGAATGAATAAATGCATAAGTTAGTTAACACCTAGGACACTGATTTCAGAGTGGGAGGATATTTTACATCCAGCAGGATTTCAGAGTCTGGGAGAGTCACACTGAGGGGGCATCCAACGCTGGCCTGGCCACCAGGGTTGAGCACTGTGAGTTTTCCAGATTAGAGGCCCAAGTATGAAAAGCATTGCAGTATTTAGACAGCCCAGCCATGTGGCCTGACTGCTGGAGGAAGCTGGCATTAAAAGGATTGCTGAGATCTCTGCTGTGTTCTGAGTCCATTAAAACTACCATGACCCTCAGAAACACAGATCCACAGGGATGATTGCTATAGCCCCTACGAGCCAGCACGGGCTGAATACTGAACAGGCACTGTCCCTGGGTACAAGTCCTTCTGACCAGGTACTGTGGCTCCATCCTACAGATGAGCAAACTGTAGTGTTAAGATGTTGATGCACAGGCTGCCGTGTCTCTGTGACTGCACTTTTCTTAGGGTTTCAGGAAGGCTCTGCAGGCCCCGCAGAGCACACTCCCTGGAGTGCCACCCCTTCCCTCTGTCTTCCCCTCATCAAGGACTCTGTGGGGGGAGCAGGAACCTTCTAGATGTGCCAATGGCAGCACTTGCACCAGCAGTTAGCCATGTCATTTGTGAGCAGAAAGAGATCATCATCATGTGTAAAGGGCAGATTAGGAGTCAAAATCAGTCAGATACTTTCTCTGAAGACTAGTCAACCACATAAGGGATACACACAGGGGACATGGCAGCTCCGTCCCACTGTGTGCCATCCCTCCACACAGTCAGGGTCCTGGAGCTAGCCCAGCAACTCCACACTCTGTACCCTAGCAGGAAGGATCTTGCATGTGGCTGCAACGTCCTCCCTTGAGAGGAGCAGGCAGGAAGTCAGTGAGCTCCTGCCAGTGCTGTGCTCTTCAATGATCCAACCCCAGTGCTCTTGTTGCCCTCAGGCTTTTCCAATTCACCTCTGGGGTAAGTGTCTGGACATTGCAGGTAAGTGCTGGGCTTCCCAACCCATATCGGAGTGGACTAAAAAACAGCTCAGGAAGCTATTGGAAAGCCTGCCACCCACTTGGTGCCACAGACACAAACACAGCTCTAGTGGGATGCCCAGAGTTCAAGCCTCTACCACAAGTAAGTGTGGGCCATGCCTGACAATCCCACACAACTGTCCACCTCAGTGTGGATCCGAAGCTTCAGTTGACAGAAACAGGGGTCTAGGGCTTGTGGGACAGGCAGAAAGGAGGTAAGCTCTCCTGTGGGCACATCTGCAGTCCTGGTGACAGAACCCACCAAGCATGGCCTTCCTGCCACCAACACGGAGTCCTCGGTGACAAGTGGAGCAGGAGACTACCTCTCATCAAGCCATCTCCTGGACCTGCAAGAAAGGTCCCAGGCTTCCTTCCTTTAATGGTTGGTTCCATAGTAGACCACTACCGACTGCCATACCCACAGGGCCACTGCACCCACAAGAGCTCTGCCCCATTCAGGTTCTACTCTACCTGGGCCCCACCCCACTAGAGCTCCTCCTCACTTGGGCCCCACCCCCCTCAGGCTCCTCCCCATTTGAATCCCACCCCACCCAGGCCCAGCCCCACTTGGCCCACCCCACTCAGCTCCCCTCTGTGGACTCCCCTCTCCAGGTCCCCCACTGGATCCCCTCCCATTGGTCCCTTCACACTGCCAGCGCCACTCAGCCCCTCCCCACTCCAGTCCTCCACACACAGGTCTCCCCCTTGGCACCCCCCC